TCTCTAGTTTAAATATCAAGCCCTGCATCCCCAAACTCACTGTTCTGACTCCCCGCGGGCATTATTACTGCAGTTCCTGCAAGAACACCCCAGCAGTTACCCTACCCAAGAGCCTCGTTCAGAGAGGTGCTGACATCCCCAGAGGAAGTAAAGGCAGCGAAGGGCACGGTAGCCAACAAGGTGGAGTGGAAGGGGAACCTGAGACTATGGCTAGACAGGAAGGAGCTTCCACCCCCCCAAAGCTCCCGACACTTGCCCCTGCCCCAAGCACTGGGCCACCCTCTTCTCTTAATGCCCCCTACGACCTCAGCTGCACCAGCCAGCGCCCGCTGCCTCCTCTTCGCTGGTGCTGCAAACCTGCCACAGAGCCTGCTCCAGCCCCTCGGCTCCAGCGTAAACCGCTCCGGGCCTGGGACCGCTCTCCCCGCCACGGGGCTGGGAGCAGCCGGTGCTGCATGGCGGGTCACAGCGGGATGCATGGGAGGCTGGTGGTGCCCTGCACGGAGGCTCAGCATTGCAGTCCAAGGGGGGAGCCTGGAGTGTCCCTGAACCACCAGCAGGCGCTCACAGGGGAGGGCAGGAGCCGCTGATCTGCAGAGCACATTTCGGAGAGCCCAGCAAGTGAGATTGGCAGTTCCACCTCCGTGAGTCCCACGGTACATGGCACAGCTCACGTCCCAGCGAAAGGGGCTGGCCTCACAGGGCACCACGCTAGCCAGAGAACACTGTGGGAACATGAGCTGCTGGGCCCCTGTGTGGGCACGGGGGGTGGGTCAGCCCTATGGAACGGGGGGAGCACTCAGGGCTGTTCTGCAAACACTGGGACAGGTGGCAGGCCTTCTCCATAGACTCCTAGTGCCCTGCCCGGCGCTCCAGCCCAATGCACATAAAGCTCCTGGCAGTGCCAGCCTCGCCCATCCAGGAGGCTGGAGCCCCCTCCCCTGCACGCCTCACCCCGACCACCCGTGCAAGCTGCGTCCAAGCCCCCGATTCATGGCTGGCTTCCGAGCTGGAAGCGGAAAATCCCGTTGCGTGGGCAGCATGTGTAAACCAGACTGCCCCTGTCTGCCTCCTAGAGACGAGGAGCAGCAGCACCCCCAGAGTGAGAGCAGGTGGGAAGTGGGCGCGTAGCTGGAGAGGCCAGGCCAAGGGCACCACACAGCAGCGCTGCGGCCTCCAGCCCAAAGTAGGATGACACCCAGTACACACACTGACTGAGATAGCAACGCCTGGGCAAGATGGTGGAGAACCCCCCCCAGCCCCATCCGGGGCTGCGTCCTGCCATCGGCCTCCCTCCCACTGAGAGAACTGGAACATTAACTGAGCCAAGCCTACAGGACGGGGCCCAGACCGTGCACAGCTGGCAAGGCGATGGCGGGAGAGGGAAAATGTGATTGTGGGGGTCAGGGGGCAGGGAGCTAGTTAACAAACAGCCATCAGCACACACCGGAGATCCCAGTGTGGAAATGGGTCTGATGCCAAAATGGGGCCCACTGCGAGAGAGAGACACTGCCAGCGGCCCGGTGCAGCACGGAGGGTCTGCACTGCTCCGCTCCAAAAACCCAGGGGTGTTAACAGCCATTATCAGGAGAACAAAGGGCCTGGGGCTGAGCAAGGAAAAGCAGAGCAAAACCAAAGCTCCCGGTAGCGCGGAAGAGGCTGGCAGGGTCACGGCACGCAAGAACGGGGATGCAGAGAGGCTGCCACCCTCTGGCACACAATGGCAGGCCCAAGGGTCGAGAGGGAGGGACGTTTCCAGGAGGATTTGCAGAGGCAAAGGATGGCCAGTGCCCGGTTCAGACAGCCTGGACCAGCCTGCGGGGAACCCCTACCCCTCTGTGCAGTCTGAGGGGCACTGCAAAATATTGCAAGGCATGGGGGGGGGAGGGGGCCCTCGCATGCCTCTGCTCACTCCTGGATGGAATCAGTTCTGGTCAGGTTTAGCTCACAGGCGATCCTTCGGCTGAAGGACTCATGCTTCTGAAATGAGAGCATCTGAATTCTGTCCCTCTAAACCTCCGAGCCAATTCCTGCTTGGACGGCTCCGGCCCAAGGCTTGGTGCATCTTTCCCATTAATACACAGCCCTTGGCCACCCGCCCACTCGGTCCGCCCAGGATCTGGAAGGTGAGCGGCCCAGCCCCGTGACTTGGGATTTTGTGTTCACGTCCAGTGAGCTCCCTCAATCTGCCGCTTTGCCTCCCTGTGAGGAAGCGCTCAAGCTGCAGACACATTAGTGAGCAGATCAAAGGTCACAAAACTTGGGCGCCTAAGAACCAACAGAGCTTGACCCAGGCAAAGTGCAGACCGGGTCCTCAGCAGATCTGGAAGTGCCCCTCTTTCCTGAGCACCTCCTGCTATTCCAGCCCTGTGTTCCACGCCGCCGCCTCCAATCCGCTGATGCATCTCACAGCCAGCCCATAGCTACCCCTGCTCCTCCAGTCTGGGGCGCCCTACCTGCAGCCCTTCCCACTGTTCCCGGCCTGGGATCCTCCCCCCTCAACACACAGCTGCTCTGCCAATGCACCTCAGCCCTGAGCAGCGGCCCCTCCTCACATACTGGATTACGGGGGAAATGCCGGACCAGTGGTCTTCTCAGTCTAGTCTCTTGACTCCGGCAGCAGCTGCAACATGATGCTTTAGAGCAACCCCTCAATGTCCCGTGCTAACTGGGCAAGACTGCCCATTGGAGGGGCGATTCCCTCTTGTCCGCTGTGGTGATCACCTGACACCCTTACTATTGATCAGACCCGGACCCGGCACCCAGGAAGCCGGCACTGCTCGGTGAGATGGTCCTTGCCTTGGGCTGCTCCTGCCCAGATAGAGAATAAGGACCCAGAGCAGGCAGAGGTCCCGGTGGGAGGGTGGCAGAGAGCTGCCTTTCTAAGTGGGTGCAGCATTAATCCAGTGCTCCATACACAGCACTGACTCTTTGCCCCAGCTGGGTTCTGGAGACCACTGACCCATCACTGTACCTGGGCCCCTTGGTGCCGTACTGACCTGCTGCCACACCCGGACCCTCAGCAGGAGCCCTGACCAGGGCTCCCAATGCCCACGGGCCACAGCACCGCTCTGTAAACCCACCAGGCCCTGCAGGATGCTGAGACTGGCCCAAAGAGGAACGTGTCTCTGCATCAAGGATTTTTGCTGATTTCAGCCCAAGCTTCCCACGCGGGGGCTTGGTGGCTGTGGCCTTCAGGAATCCTGCCCAAATACACCCCAGTCCCCACAGCTACCCCCAGAGGGAAAGCAGCAGCTCCTCCAAAGAGATCACACCTAACATTCACATCTGCTACACGGGGCTGCCAGGAGTTAACGAACCACACCAGCGTCCTCCGGCGCACAGGGCGTTAACCCACCAGGAAACACACCTGATCCTCAACCCCACTCCAGCCCCCAAACGCGCCCCGCCGTCTCCTCCACGCCCAGGAGAGGCAACAACAGAAACACACAGCCAAGGGTCCGGAGAAACCAGCGACAATAACGTCCTCCATCCCCCAGAGGCAGCAAGGGGAGGGGGCAGCATGCGGGGACCTGCACTGACAGTCCAGGGCCTGCAGGGGTCTCCATCCCAGACATTTAGGGTGGGGGGTTTGGGTGGCAAAGCCCTTGCCGGGCGGGGGTGCTCGGCACTCATACAGGCGCACTGGCGTGCCGCTCTCCAAAAGGCTGGGCTAGGTGCCCGGGCAGAGGTAACGCTTGTACCAGAACCACGGCCACCAGTAGCCGGTTCTGGGGAGGGTGCGGCATGGGAGGGCCGGGCTCCAATTCCCCACTAGGGAAGCAGGGGTGGCTGCATGGCAGTTAATGGAGGGGCACTGGGCCAGGCCTCTGGCCTGGGGATTCTGTCCAAACATGAATCAGAGGAAGTCGTGGGAGGGCAGCTGTGATTTAATGGACCGAGCATGGGGCTGAGAGTCAGGACTCCTGGGTTCTTTCCCCAGCTCTAGAGCAGACTTGCTCTGTGACCTTGGGGAAGTACATGCCTCAGTTTCCCCAGCTGGAGGCGATGGTATGGAGCCCCCTTGGCAGTGATGTGAGCGCTCTGGCTGGAATGTGCTAGCTGTACTAGGCTTAGAAAGCACAGACCTGGGGTAGGCCCCTCCAAGGTGCTCTCCAGGGCTCTGCAAAGCGCTGCATGCACTGGGGGTGAGCACTGTATGTCAGACCATGAGCCACGCCCCAGCTACACTGTCCCAGCGACTGAGCCACAGCTGGCCCAGCCTCGGGCTCCCACGCAGGGACAGTCGCTCTTGTTTTCAAACAGAGCATCACAGTCTCAGCTCAGCAGCAGCAATGGAGCCAACCCGGAGTAAAATGAAACCCCCTCCCACTTCCTGGCTGCTCCAAGCTGTGGGCGAGGGGAGGTCAAGCAGAGGGTGAGGGGGGGATAGAATGTGTGGAGAACCACCGGGGTTCCCAGGCTCCAGCAGGGGTGGGACACTGGTGCCCTGAAGAGGCGTGAGGCTGCGATTGGTCTGCCTCTCCTTGCTCGCAGACCAGTTACGGACCTGCTGAAAGCAAGGACGGAAGACAATAGGGAGGCATTTGGAACCGTGGGCTGCAATTGGTTGTCATTGTCCCCCCGGCTCTGCTGGCCAGTGCGTATCTGGGAGGTCACCTCCATGGTGCTGGGTATGAATTCGCAGTATCACTGAAGCACACAACCACTGCAAACAGCTTTGTCATGTGGCGGGGACCTAGCCGAGGATGCCGAACTCATCCCAGGGATGAGCAGTCACTGCCAGACTGCTCTCCCCTGCCCCTCCCAGCCAGAGGCACGCGAGGAAGGCAGGGCCTGGCAGCCAGTGGCCAGGATACTCTAAGGAATCTATGGCAGGACAGCACATAAACAGACAAGCTCCCGCAGTGCAATGCTGCAGGTGCACTACCCAGCGTGGGCTGTAGGATGTAGTGCACCAGGAAGGCTAGTGAAACAGGACCCTCTCCCAGCTTGACCATGCAAACCCTTGGTGATGCAGTGAGCACAGAGACACTTACCTTGTACTTAATGGCCAGTAACTCGGTGGCTTCTTGCTCCTTCCTCAGATCCTCTATCATCTTCTCCTTCTCCTCCAGCAGCTTCTGCTTCTCCTCACTCACCAGGCTGTGGTCATCTTGAATGGCCGCCTTCTCCTCTTCCAGCCTCTCCTTCTGCTCCTTCAAGTAACTCTCCATGTTCTTCTCCAGGCCGTCGTCATTGTCCTCCTCCCCTTCGGCCTCTGTATTGCCCTCTCCATCCACCACCTTCTTCCTTCGGCTGTTTCTCCTCCTCTTCTTGCTCAGCATCCCTCGCTTCTCCAGCTGGGCTTTCAGCCGGATGATCTCCTCCTGGAACTCCCGCAGCAGGGTGTCCTTCGGGTCCTCGTTGACCCTCGGCTTATTCTTGATGTTCTTCGCCCTGTTGGCAAACCTGAGGGTGGACAAGCTCTCCTCGTAGCTGTGAGAGGCTGGGCCTAGGGTGGCCACCATGATGGTCTTGGCATTGCCACCCAAGGAGTCCTGCAGGAGGCGAGTCAGTTTGGAGTCTCTGTAGGGGATGTGAGTGCTTTTGCCATCGACCAAGGCAGAGATGACGTTGCCCAGAGCGGAGAGGGAGAGGTTAATCTTGGAAGCCTCCTTAGGCCTCTCCCCTGGCCCCCCCATTTTGCTCTGGCGCTCACTGCCTGCCAAGTCCACCAGGTTGAGCTTGCCCACCCGGATGTGGTCCTCTCCATCCAGGCCGGTCTCGCTGCACTCCACCGTGATCACAAAGATGGCATGGGAGCGGGAGCTGTACTCATTCATGTTGGTGCTCCCCACCGATCGGGTCTGGTTGCCCAGGTTCATGACGTGCTCGATCTCCTTGACGTTCTTGGTCACGAATGAGGAGAGGTCTTTGATGTAAACGCCCGTCTCGGGGTTCTCCTTCAGCTCCAGTTTCTTGCTCTGGTCCTTTGCCAGGAGGTCTCGGATCTCCTCTTGGTAAATCTCCAGGTAGGAGGCCCTCACTAGGTACTGCTGGTTCTGGGACCGGGAGATGTGGGTGAAGATGTGCTCAAAGGAATTGGGGACGATCCCTCTCTTCTCTGAGTCCGTCCAGGCCCCTTGCATAGTGTAGGTCTTCCCGGTGCCCGTCTGGCCATAGGCGAAGATGGTCCCGTTGAATCCTTGCAGGACAGAGTCTATCAGGGGCCTGACCGTCTCGTCGTACAGGTCCGCCTGCTTGGAGCTGGCGTCGTACACGGCGTCGAACGTGAAGGTCTTCGCCAGCTCCCCGGGGGCGGCCTTGGGGTTCCGGAGGGTCACTTGCCCCAGTTTCACGTCCATCTCCAAGATCCTCTCGTACCCGGCCGCTTCCTCCTTCCTGTTCATGGGGCGGCAGCGGGCCACCACCTTCAAGGCCTCGCTGGTCTTGGGTCTGTTGGCCATGGTGAGCCCCCGGCTCCCCGCGATCAGAGCCGGCCCCTCGCCGCTCTCGGGGCAGTGGGCTGGGGCGGGCTTTGTGTGTGTGTCCCCCGGGGCGGGGGGAGGTGGATGCTGCGGTCCCTTGCCCCGGCGTCTCCTCGGAGCGGGGGTGTCACTGGGCCCCCGGCAGCATCCCCGGCCGCGCCGCAGCCCCCCCGTGGCGGGGCATCCCGGAGCCGCCCGCGGGCCGGGGCGCGGGGAGGGGCCCCGGGCGGAGATCCGGGGCTGGGGGGCGATTCCAGACGCCTCGCTCGCGGGTGGCCCGCGGGGCCGGGCAGCGGGCGGTCAGAGGCTCGGGGGGCTCCGGGGCCGGGATCGCCTCGCCCGCCCCTGCGCCGGCGGCTCATTCATTGCAGCGGAGGAAAACAGAGGCGGGGGCCGGGGGCGGGGAGGGGGGGCCGAGCAGCTGATTTGCTGGCGGGAGGGAGAAGCGCAGCGACGCCCGCCCAGCCCCGGCCCACCAGCCCCGGCATGCTGGGAGGTGTAGTCCTGCTCGGCGCCTGGCCGCGAACCCGCGCTGCTGGGGGGCGGCTCACCCCCGGGGGTCGTTCCCTTGCAAGCGGGCCAGCGGCTACCCCCGCCCGGCCCAGCCAGGCCAGACACACCGTGTCCTGGGCCAAGGGGAGCAACCCCCTGGGGCTGGCATCTCTCTGCTCTGCCTAATGCTGCCCGACCTGCCCTTTGCACCCTGCTCCAGCCCCCAGGCCCTGGGCCCAGGGCCGGCTCCAGCCCCCAGGCCCTGGGCCTGGCCCGCTAGAGGGTGGGGAGCCCACTGCTAGCCCCCGCTGGAGAACAGGGGCATCCTCTGAGCGACGCCTCACCCAGCCCGGGCGGTGCCAGGCCCATCGGGGTCGGCAGCAGAGCGGGGGGAACACTGGCCAGGGCCCCCCTGCCCAGCACCAACCCAGCTGACATCTCTACGGCCGGGTTAGGTGGTGCGGAGCTGTTCCCTGGTCACTCAGGGCAAGAGCTCAGCTTTATTCTGTGCCCAGTTCCCTGCCGATGGGTTGTGCATAACCATAGGTGCCCTTCTCCCCCGCCCCCAGACTGTCTGTCTGGGAAGCTCAGTCCTTAACGGCACAGTTCCTAATACCACAGGTAGTGGCTGCAAAGGGGCCCATCCGAGTGCACGCCCCAGCTCTGGGACCATGCCACCACTGACACTGACCCCTGAGCGCTGTGGGGTGTAGTGGAGGGCAAAGGGAGGGGTGGACGGGCCCCCGGCTGATCAGATGTTCACCCTGGCAGGGTAGGAACTGAATTAAGACTCCAGCCAAAGATACCATGGGGGGACGGGGTGTTGTACTGATTTCTTTATATAGATGGTTGCTGGGATTTCCCAAGCTAATGCTGGGCTCCCTTGTCCCCTAATAGTTTGCCCTGGTTTTATACCCACAGTCGGTGCATGGGGATGGGGAAGCATAGCCTGCCTCATGAGCACCTCCCTGTGGCCAGTGTTAATTAAGCACCAGGTTCAGACGGCTCTGATCAGAGAGAAGGGCATTATAATGACGGGTAACAGAGTGAGCTGGGAGTGAACACAAATGGAGATGCCCATGAACGTACCTCTACGTAGGGAGGAGAATACTCCTGGTCTTACGCTGCTGGAAGAAGAAATTCAGAATTTAGAGCAGATAATAATGAGACATAACATCGAAACTCCTAAATGAATTGTGGAGTAGTTTCTGTGGGTGTCCCCCAGAGCCCCCTTCTGGACAGATTCAGAACTGCTCAACTGTGTGTCACAGGCTCTATATGGTGCACCGTTAAGGGAGATTTCCTTTCTTCCAAAGTGCTGGAGGCTTCTGCTTTTGGAAGGACTGCACTCTGCCGCCCTGTCTCGGTGAAGTGCCAGGGGGCGATGGTGAGCAGCAGAACAGAATTCATGTGTTACTCTGCACTTTTATTTCTAAGGGGCCCACGCATAAAGGTATGAACCTGCCTCACAAAATGCTAAACAAAGGCAGTAATTTCAAACAGGCAGCTAGACCAGCTGAACTCGCCCGGCGAGGTCCCCTGGCAGCCCTGCACCGCAGCAACAATCACGTTCATACCCCGGCTTCGCTTAAATGTACACAGCCCCTTCCACTCACGGCCTTGACAGGAAAGCTGGAAAAGACCTGGGAATGTCCCGACAGGTGTGCAGGGCCGTGTCTCCCTCCCCCCTGGGGCTGAGTCACAAAGCAGCTATAAACCTCAGCACTGGAGCCATCAGCTGAGATCCTTTAGCACAGGCTGGAGGGGCCTCTGTGTTTTGGGAGCAGATGATACCAGTCAGCTCTGTGTCTTGGGGAACCAGGGTGCAGTATCCAGCCTGTCTGACTCACGAAAGACACCCCCACCCCCAGCCTCTGCTTGAACCAAAACCGCTCAGAGAAAAGACTTGCAGAGTGAAGGGCGTTGGGAGACACACCTAGACCCCTCCTGACAAGGGTGACAAGATTAAGGCATCTCCATTAGCATACAGAATGGAGAGCAGAGACAACTCCCCTCGCCTCACCTGCATGGAAGATGGAACATGGAGACATGAGCTAATGAGCATACAGAATGGAGAACAGAGAACTGCACTAAACGCTGGGACCAGAAAAGCAGGGAAGCACTGCATCATGGGGGATCTCTGCTCCAGGTGTTAATGAACCCGCCTGCACACACCCAGCACAGCAAGAGTGAAATATCAGGACACATTGGTCGAGCAGGGGGGAGACAGACAGACACAGGTGCACAGCCCCGACTGGAGCCAGAAGGAAGCACACTGGTCCGCCTGGTCCTGTGCTACCAGCGTGCCCCTTCCTGTTGGGGGTGGGCCCATGCTGCGCCACACAGCTCCCCTGCCCAGCGCCCCCTGGATCCACTATGCCCAGAGCCCCCCTACAACCCTTCCACCACAAATGCACAGTGCTGTGCACACACACCCCACCCAGCGCCCCCCTGCCAGTGCCACAGCTCCTCCACAGCTGCCCAACACCCACACAGAACCCCCCACTCGCTAGTTTCCCAATACACACAGATTTCCCCTCCCTCCCAGTGCCCTTCCCCACAGCCCCACCACCACAACTACACAATGCCCCACACAGACCCGCACTGCCCAGTGCCATGACACACACAGATCTCCCCCACTGCCCAGCACCCCCCACAGGCCCCCACTGTCTAGCACCCCAAAACACACAAACCTCCCCTACTGCCCAGCGCCCTCCACACCCTCACAGCCCAGCACCCCACACACACCTCCCAGACACTCACTCCATCACACCCTGCCCCCATCCCTGGCCGCACTCACCAGCCCTGCTGGGCGGTCTCTGGCTCCTAGGGTGAGAGTGGTGAGGGGGGGGTCTCCAGACTCTCCATGTGCTGCTCCCGCCACAAGCACGAGCTCTGTGGCTCCCATTGGCCGGGAAAAGCACCAATGGGAGCTGCTGGAGCCGTGGAGTGGGGCTTGCAGGCGCCAGCAGCACGCAGAGCCCCCCCATCCTAGAGCCAGAGGGACCTGCCAGGGGACGAGGTGAGGAGTCCCGGCGGGGCTCACCTGGGACGGCTCCCATCCCAGGAAGCATCCGGCAGGCTGGTCCCTCTGGCTCCTAGGTTGGGTCGGGTGGGGGGGGGCGGCGCTCCTGCCAGCGGGCGGGCGCCGGGAGCTGCCCCAGGAAGCGGTGAGCAGCGGCGCTGCGATTGCGGCTGCGGTGCCATGGCTGCGGTCCGGACGGTCCCCGATATCGGGACAAAGACCGATGTAAGGTCGGGACGCGGGACAAGTCCGATAATATCGGGACGTCTGGTCACCCTAAGCTCAGCAGTTATCAGACCAATTCTAGTCATGAATCTTTGATTGATATCCGAAACACTGAAGCAGCCTAATTGCATTGTGAGCTCCCTGGAAGGAACACCGCCCATAGCCAAGAGTGATCAGCTCCTATTGTCTAGTCTAAAGAAAATCCTTGAGTCATCAGTTTACCCATAAACAAATCTAGTGTTCTCCCTTCAACCAGTGTATTTTCTCTACAAAACCCCCTACCTATGTCCAAGTAAGTGTTCTGATGCAGGGACCCAAACCATGCATCAGTTCCACTGGGACTCCATCTTCTCCTGACTGATCGTGCTGGGGGCTCTGCCTGTCTCCGGCATTCAGGACCCTCAGCTACCACCATCATCTGGGAACCCCGACCAGTTCAAGCCTCATGGAGTGGGTGAGATCCCTCTCTCTCTCTCTCTCTCTGTTTTCTTTTCTACCTCAGGTATTAACCTTTAATAATGTAATTGTTATGTTGGTTTAGACTCTCCTTGTGTAGTTATCACTATTATTCCATAAATAACTTTGATGGTTAAGCTGGTTGCTTCTCTCTCGCTCTCTGAACTTTACTTTTTTGTGTTTTTAGCTTCCCCCATTCACGCTACAGCAACGCTTCTTTTACCTAAGCTAATGATCCCTGCAGCGCCCAAAATACTGTGGGGTTTGCTCATCAAGTGGGTTACTGCCAGTACAATTGTGACGTGAAAGTGGGATAGGGACGTGCTAAACCTGTGGCATATAAGGGCGGCAGCTTGAAAATGCTGCTTGACCCGCTCTGCTCAGTATGTGTGGGTGTGTTTATGTTCATCTGGTTCTGGGGCTGGGGAACCTAGGTCCTGCAGGATAGCGCCACTGGTAGGGGACTTGCAGAAGGGAGGAGTAGAGCTCCGTATGAGAACACAAGCAATACATTGATAGAATTACAGACACCCCCCCCCCACCACCGGAGGAGAAACCTTAATAAATGAGCATACCCCAAAGTAACAGGCAAATCTGGTAGCACAGAAGGTTGTGGGTTCTTTGCAGCTGCTGGCAGGGGTAGAGTAAACACCCACAGAATCACTACAGCCTTCCAAGTCATCTAATCCAGAGTTTCTCAACCTGTGGGTCAGGACCCCAAATTGGGCCCCCAGCATGGGCGGCATGTGAATCGCAGGCTGGGGGAGGCTAGCCCCCCTTCTGCCCGAAGCTCCCCTCCCCCAGCCTATGGTACCCGCCGTCCATGGTCCCCAGAATGTTTCAAAAGTCGCGTGGCA